TAATCTCCTGACCAGAGCCATTGAGGTAAGTCCCTAACAGAGCTCTCAGCTTTAGCAAGTTATTGGTATTCCCATTACAAAAAATAATGATGTCATCTGCAAAAGCAAGGTGGCTGATGAGTAGATCCCTGCCTGTATTATAATTTTGGATTTTAGAGGATGCCATTTCTGTTTTCAACATTCTGGAGAGCCCCTCACTGGCAATAATGAATAGCAAAGGGGATAGTGGATCGCCTTGTTTAACTCCTCTGCTCATAGGAAAGAAACCTTTAGGGCTCCCATTAATCATTATGGAGATGTGTGTACCCCTGAGGTTAGCTAGGAGAAGTCCCTGATTGTGTTCTGAAAACCCAAGTTTCTTTAAGATCCCCTGTATGTAGTCCCACTCCAAGTTGTCAAAAGCCTTGGCCATATCTAATTTGATAATGACATTGCCTCCTCTGATCTTAGAATCAATCTTGTGAACCATCTCTTCCACCAAAAGTATTTGTTCGTCAACCCCCATCCCTGTTTGGAAGCCAGTCTGCTCTGAAGAAATAATCTTGGGTAGCAACTGTTGAATCCTGTCTGCAAGTATTCTAGTGTTTACTTTACTCATGAAGGTGGAGAGTGAAATGGGCCTATAGTCTCCAAAGCTCTTAGGATTATCAATCTTAGGGATCAAGGATAGAAAAGTACTACCATAACTCTTTGGCAGATTGATCCCAATGAAAAACTCCTGTGTAGCACTTATCACATCATTTTGAATAATATGCCATGCTGCCCTAAAGAAGGATCCATTGAACCCATCCGGGCCAGGAGCACTATTAGGATTAATACTCCACACTGCCTCCCTAATCTCCTCTGCTGTTGGTATTTTGCTGAGCTTGGCATTGTCCTCTTGTGTAATCACTGTCTCCAGGTAATCAAGAACAGGAGTAGTAACAATATCTTTCTTAGAGTTGAAGAGATTGTTGTAGTAGTCAATAGCCATATTATGAATAACCTCTCTATCTGTGTGCTCTTTCCCTTGGATGTCCACAATCCTTCTGATTTGGTTTTTAGCTCTCCTACCCTTGACAAATGCATGGAAAAACTTGGAGTTGCAATCTCCTTCCTCCATCCACTTGATATTGGCTTTTTGCTTCCAATAGCTGAGTTCATAATCTGTAGCTAGGATTAGTTGAGCTTTAGCTTTATTCTCCTGTTCTCTATTTGCAGGACTAGGATCTTTTTCAAAATTTTCCTGTGCTTGAATTGCTGTTTGCTCTGCCCCCTTTAATTTACTGAAAATATTACCAAATGTTTTGGTGTTCCGCTCCTTGATATGTCCTTTAAGCTCTTTGAGTTTTCTAGCCAGTCCTTCCATGCCTCCATGTTGATTAGTTTTATCCCAGGAGTCTGTAACCACTTTAAGGAAAGTAGGATGGTTTAGCCAGGCATCTAGAAACCTGAATGGCTTAAGGCCTCCCAAAGGTTCCTTCTTACACTGGAGGAGTAAGGGTTTATGGTCTGAGGATGTTTTGCTAAGATGCATGATAGAGATATCTTCAAATTCCTCCAGCATCTTGTTGTTGACCAAAACCCTATCAAGTCTCCTCATGACCCTGCCATTACTTCTATTACTCGACCAAGTAAACAAGGAACCTATTGTGTGGGGAGTAGTGAGACCACAAGAGCTGATGCAAGCTTTGAATTCCTCCATGTCTCTAGCGTTGGGATGATTTTTGCCATCATGCTCTGAGTAGTCTGCAACTGTGTTGAAGTCTCCCCCCACAATCCATTTACTCATAGGGATGAGCTTGACTAGTCCAGCCCATAATTCCCTCCTTTCCTGACCAGTATGTCTCCCATAGACAGTTGTAATTCTAAGATTTTCCTTTGTGATGGTGTCCATAAGATCACAGTTGACCCACTGAACATCCTCCTCAATATTGGATAAGGTAAGATGAATCTCTGACCAGAAGACCCATATTTTGTTATTTGAAGAAGCATAATATTTACTAAATCCCAGATCCAAACCATATTTACCAATCTGGGAGGCTGAAACTATAGGCTCAATAATGGCAAGAAAGCTGATTTTGTGTTCTTTTTTATATACATTGATCCTTTTAAGAGAGGATCTAACTCCACAAACATTCCAAAAGAGGGCTAACATTAAAGACTAATGTACTTAAAGTCTTTATGGCCCTTATGGCTTCTTGTAACAATTGTCATTAAGGGTCCATCCTTCTTGTTTTTCTTCCTCCTAGGGGCAGAGATTGGAATGGCATTAGCTTCTGGTATTTTAAAGCTTTGTGGCTTTAGCTCTGATGAGTCTCTAACATATTCAACTTCATCATCATCTGAGTGCCTGACCATCTCTGTATGATTTTCTTCCTCTTCTGTTTGGGTGGAATGTTGAAGTTCTTCCACTAACATTGCTAAGCCTTTTTCAGGGGAAAGATTATGAAGACAGTCATCCAATGAGTATGTTGACCCCATAAAAGGTGTATTTTTCCTATCAGCTTTCACCTGTTGTGGCTTATCCTTCAAGTAGGTTGTTTTCTTGTAGAAATACTCCCTTGCTTCCTGGAGGGAGGGAAAAAAGGAGGAGGATTTTTCTCCTGGGGAGGTACTGACCAGGGGTTGTAAATCCAAGAGTTGACAGGATGGGGACTCTTGCTGCATGGGATCCATTATGGTTGGGCCCAACTGTGTGACAGTGTTATCCATCAGGTTTAGAGGGGAAAACCTATTAGGATGGAGTTTAGTGTTTTTAACTTTCCACTCAAATTTTTTGGGCCCATGCTGCAGTGTTTTCCCATTCGTTCTGTCTGCTTGTGACTGGAGTTGTACTTTTGTCTTCTTGTTTTTGACCGTTTGCCATTGTTCACCATTCCCTTTGGCAGTGCCCCCTGAAACCTTGCCGGAGGGAAGATTTCCGGTATCCTGAGATTTTTGAGCATGATTATGTTGGCTTTCCTTATGACCCAGGAGTGAGCACAGATTGCAGAAAAGTGGCTTATCCTCATACGTACAGTTGGTAAAGAAATCTTTGCCCCCCATTCTGATATGAAGCTTTGGTGGAGGTGAGACTGATAAATCAAGTTCAATGCATATTTTAGCACCCTCCCTTCTATCTCTATTAACGGTGTAATCATCCATTTTAACAGGTCGACCCAGCAGAGAAGCAATAGAGAATAGTGCCTGGTAGTCAATGAGGTGCAGAGGCAAGGGATCCAAAGACACCCAGACTGGGAAAATAGGAGAATCTGCCCTGGGATTGTAATCTCTAGTCCATTTGAAAACATAGAAAGATGTATCATAAACGTACCATTTATGTTTCCTAACGAATCTGATGTAATCTTCCTCTGCTTTGAATGTGAATAAGACGTCCTTGGAGTTGATTCTTCTAATCTTGAAAGCCCCAAATCCCAGCTTGAGTAAAAATAATTTTAAAACTGAAAGATGAAGATCTTTGTGGAATCTCCCAACAGCTGAAAACCCCAGCTTGCTCTCCAGCTTTTCTTCATCTTCAATTGAGAAGCTGATGGATGGAATTCCATTGTAGAAGCCTTCCCTAACTCCCACACCTTTAGTATTGTGCACTTGGAAAAGCTAAGAGAAGAGCTTGGTGTATTTCTGACCTTGCAAGTGATTTTCCGGCAGCTTACCCGGAGCTTTTGCCGGAATCCTCTCTCCTCTCTCTAGACCTGCCATCCATCCATATATCATATATATATATATATATATATATATATATATATATATATATATATATATATATATATATATATATATATATATATATATATATATATATATATATATATATATATATATATATATATATATATATATATATATATATATATATATATATATATATATATATATATATATATATATATATATATATATAT